AGTTATTATTTATTTATTTTATTTCAGGTACTTTTATGCAGCGCTTTACATATATATTGTACATTCACATCAGTCCCTAACCCTCAAGGGGTGTACAATCTAAGGTCCCTAACTCACACTCATACATACACATGCTAGGGACAGTTTAGACAGGAGCCAATTCACCTACTAACACGTCTTTGGAGTGTGGGAGGAAACTGAAGTACCCAGAGGAAACCCACGCAGGCACAGGGAGAACATGCAAACTCTAGGCAGGTGGTGCCATGGTTTGGATGGAGTTCATTCATCCCAGCAGCAGAGCTATGCACTCACTATACATGTTAAAGCATCTTGTGGCGAGAAAGGCAAGCAGCCTATTGCAGAAGAAATATAGAAAGACATATGGTGCAATAAAAATCCTTCCTGCTCACAGGGCAAAATTCTATTTTGAAAAATCCTTTTTTTTTTTTTCTTTTTTTTTTTTAATTTTCAGGTTTTAATAAAAAAAAACTGGTTATCCTCCCATGAAGGTCTGTTCAGTCATAGGCTGAAAACACTCTTTCTCTGGCTCCCATTTGTTCTCCTGTGTTGTCATGTTGTCACTCCATTGCGTAAGCTTCTGATAGATACTACAAGTGGCCATTGAAACCAGGTACACATTGATGCGGTGCGGGAAACGCAGTGATTAATGTGCGATCTCCATATTGCATAGTAGTCGCACTTTGTGCGATCTGCTGCAGGTGTCAATTATAATTACAGATACTTGTATAGCTCCGGCAATTTACGCAGTGCTTTATAAAACACGCACACTTTATTATTATTATTATACAGTATTTATAAAGCGCCAACAGTTCACTCAGCGCTGTACATTACAAAGGGAGACAGAACATGCGACAGTACGATAACAATACAATGTGATACACGCGGGGTTCGAGGACCCTGCTCCTTTGAGCTTACAATCTAGGAGGGAGGGGATAGTGTTACAGGAGGAGATAGCTGTGGGGGATGGGGTTGGTAGGAGAAGTGGAGGAGGTCAGCAATTAGCAGGGGGTGGCGTAGGCTTCCCTGAAGAGATGGGTTTTCAGGGTGTGCCTAAAGGAGAGGAGAGTAGGTGATAGTCTGATGGATTGGGGTAGGGAGTTCCAGAGGATGGGTGACACTCTGGAGAAGTCCTGGAGGCGGGCATGGGAGGAGGAGACCAGGGAACTAGAGAGAAGGAGGTCTTGTGAGGAGCGGAGTGTGCGTGCTGGGCGGTACTTGGATATTAGGTCGGTGATGTAGTTCGGGGCAGTATGGTGGACAGCTTTGTACGTCAGTGTTAGGATTTTGAATTTGATCCGTTGCGCAATCGGAAGTCAGTGGAGGGATTGGCAGAGGGGGGGTGGCGGAAACGGAGCTGTTGGTAAGGTGAATGAGTCTGGCTGCCGTATTCGGGATCGACTGAAGCGGGGATAGCCAGCGGTGAGGCAGGCCAGTGAGGAGAGAGTTGCAGTAGTCGAGTCGTGATATGATGAGGGAGTGGATGAGCTGTTTAGTGGTTTCTGGGGTTAGGAACGTGTGGATTTTGGCGATGTTGCGGAGGTGGAGTCTGCACGAGTTTGTTAGTGATTGGACTTGGGGCTGGAAGGATAGGTTGGGGTCCAGAATGACACCCAGTACTTTGGCCTGCGGGCCAGACACACACATTAAATGTCATTCAGAAGATGAATTCAATGTATATCCCATTGTGGGATGCAGGAGGTGTGCCTGATCTATAAATCGTTTGATCTCTGCACACTGAGGATACCAAAGTTTAGAGATCCTGGGATTTACAGGGGATTTCTTGAATAACAAGTATGTGCGGGTATCTTGCAATGCCTGTTAGCATACATTGTGACCTTGATAACTTGTTCCAAATGACAAATGTATTTTAGATGAAGTATGACGTCTTTCATTGAAACCGTAATAGCATGTCCAATTTTGAATGTTAAAAATGTAAAATTTCCATATACTGTGCATTTAGTATCTCAGCTTATGACAACTCTGCATATACAAGTGGAAGGATACATTAGGGACATCGATCAAACAAACTGGTGACATAATTGAATCCAAATCAGGCTGCTGCTCATTTAGCAAAGTCTATGCAGCAATTTTCTGTGTGTTTTTGACCCCTGCCCTCTATCCCTGGCAGTCTGTCATAGATCTGAGACCGATTTATCACTGAAGATGAGACAAAATTTCACTACAACAGGTGGTTGGGCTCAGGTTTTTCTTTCTGTCGCAGTGCTACTTTAGAGAGACAGATCGGAACTGGTATAGTAAAACTGTCTAATAATCTATATACATAGAAAAATGCAGCGCTGTAAAATGATCAAATCATGCAAATCAACACAATAATAGTCCTGAAAAGGTGCTCATTAATTCCCAGTGCCAATGGAAAGAATGCAAACTAACCAGAAGCGCATTTAAAGTACGCATGTGTGTAAGAAATCCTGGAGATTCCCCTCTCTCCCTCTGGTCAGAAAATGGATATGTGCTGAAATGGATGACGATAACGCCCTCTAGTGGGAAAAAAATCCTGCAGGTCAGGAAGCTCCCAGGCTAGGATATTCCTCTTCAATGGAACCAGGGCTGGGATTGAAATCACTCTGTGGCTGTGAAATTGGGAGAAAGACCCTCACAGAGAACACAGAGATACTCATAGTGTAGTATATTACTTCAATTTATTTAAAAAAAACAAGTAAAACATATAATCAGGTGGCAAGTGAAAGTGACCCACTGACCCTCTTAAAATTATAGGTGGCCGCCGGGCCTCCACATGGCACCGGCGGCGTAGTGTCAATGGCGTCCACAGGCTCCTTTCGTGCGCACGCACTTCTTCTGAGGTAGAGCAAGGACCCTAAAGCTCCCTAAAGAACATATTACCCCAAAATTTCATATTCCAGATGTGTATATGCTGTACCATGTACTTGTGTCAAAAAGTATCCTGTTCTCTTTGTTTTTCTTCCTTTGTGTGAAATTCCTTGTGTTCCTGCCAGTCCCTCTGCTTTCCTTTTTCAAACTGACCACACTAGGCATGGAAGCACATCTTTCCCAGCGTGGTCAGTTTTCTGTCTGTGCTTGGAGAGAGCCTGCCTGTCCTTCAGTGCTTAGACTTGTGCTGACATGCCCACCCCCTGCACAGTCATTCACTGGGATGGTCGGTGTACTGCTTCTCTCCACCCCCCTCCTCTCTAAGTCCCTTATGCAGCTGAAAACAGAGGGTATGTGGTCACTTAGTAAAAAAAGAAAAAAAAAGCAAGCAGTTTATAATATTTGTGGCTTTTTTTTATTTTAAACTGAATGGGTTGTTTTACAACAGGGATGTCAAACTCCATTTAATCGCGGTCTGCAGCAGCATTATAGTTGCGCTCAAAGGGCTGGTTATATCTGTATGACTAGATGTCCTAAGCTAGCGTTGTTTATTTCTTGGGTGCAATTCCCAGCTATAATACCTTGTTCCAGTGGCGAGGAAGCCGCTTTCTGGTGGAGGCACCCAGTTGGGGTGCCAGACAGACTGTCACATAGGCATAGTTTACGGTTTTTCAAAAATTGAATCAATGCGAGCACACCGAAATGTGCATATATTAAATGTTTGCAATGATACCTGAAGTGTATTGTAAGCACAAGTGGTGCACAAATGTTTGCATTGTTTACAAACCTAGCCCTGGATCTGAATGGAGCTATGGACTTTCAGTTGTGGGGCTAGAGCAGTGTTTCTCAACTCCAGTCCTCATGGACCCCCAACAGGTCATGTTTTCAGGATTTCCATTATTTTGCACAGCTGATTTGATCAGTTTCACTGCCTTAGTAATTACCACAGCTGTTTCATCTGAGGGAAATCCTGAAAACATGACCTGTTGGGGGTCCATGAGGACTGGAGTTGAGAAACACTGGGCTAGAGGAAGTAATCAATGGATTACAAATGTGGTGACGTGCTCCATTGGGATTTTCGAGTCGCTCTACTGTGGTGCGATCTTTTCAATGTCTACACAAGGGAAGCTTTACAGGCAAATAACATGTATAAAATACATACGGGGGGGACCGGGGTCTCTTTAACCTCCTTAGCGGTATTCCCGAGTGTAGCTCGGGGTAAAATTTCTATACCAAGAGCGGTAACCCCGAGCTACACTCGGACTTACCATGCGGCGTTGCCCAGGGGGTCCCTGCAGCACTTACCTTGTCCTTCGCTCCCGCGATGTGTCCCCTGCAGCGTCCCCGGCCATCTCCTCCGGCCGATGCCGGCATCCGGCTTCCGTGTTCCAGTCCCTGTGACGTCGGGACGTACGTGCGCCGGCACCGGTGAAAATTTGAAATTTTTTAAAAATTTCATTTTTGCTGTCATTGCTGTTTCAATGCATTTCACATATATTTTGTCCCTACTGCTTTGTCCTGTGCCCTGCCTGCATTTTGAATGTTCCTTCTGCCTGGAAACTTAGAAAAGTCCATGGCGTCCAAAAAGCGTCCCTTTAGGTCAAAAGCAGTTTTAGAACAGCGATAGTAAATCAGAACCACTTGCAGAATTGAGTGATAATGATTCGTGGGGGAAATTCGTCATCAGACACTGAAAACGATTTTGCGACTTTGCTCAGCGATGTGCCAATTTGCCTCTGTATTTCAAATTTCAGTGTTTTTGGTTTGATTATATTATTAAATTACATTTATTATTATATTATTATTTATTAATTATTTATTAAATTTAATTTATGATTTTGTGTTTCAAGTTTTATCCTATCCGGAATGTTTACTAGACTCTTGTACAGGACAGATTTCAGTGAGTTATTCCTAAATTACAGCCTACAATAAAAAACTACATATTTCCATGCAAAAAAATGGTACCGCTTTCAGCACCAAAAATCGGAAAGAATCATACCGCCAGGGAGGTTAAGCAGCACTGTCACAATGTACTCAAGCTTGTGTACAAATATATTTTTGAAGTCTTGTGTATCCCCAGACATTCCATCTGAACATCCTTTACTAAATGTTCTGTCTTCTCCTTTTAGTTTGTCAAGTTTGCGAACATTGAAGAGGACACCCCCCCTCCTATCACAGACGCTACGACTTCTTTGTCTCTCGATTCAGTGCAATGTGCCACTCCTGTCACAGCGACCCTGAAGTGCAGACCGAGTAAGTTGAAAGCAGAAGTTCCCTTTCACATAACACTTATTAACCCCTTCACGCCTAAGGGTAAAACAAATCTAAATGCCTAAGCACAATTCTGCAACGTTGACATGTGTTAGTAAAACCGTACATATCATCACAACTACTTTGTGCATCCAGGTGAATTATACCTTGTTTTTTTTTTAGGACAAATTGGGCTTTCATTTGGTAGTCAATGGTAATGGATAGCTCCTGATTTTTTTTTGTTATTATCAAAGGAAAACTGGCCCAAAATAGTAAAAAAAAAAAAAAATAAAATTTTTTTTTATTTAGCTGTGTGTTTCTTGTTACCACCATAACCTACCACCAAGGAACAACCCAAAATAAATTTTCCAGCTCTTGACGATTACAGCGATACCATATATGTGTATGTTATTTGTTGTTTGTACCTATAGTACAGCCCAGAAGTAATAGTGCGCATTTTTTTTTTGTTTTTGTTTTTTTTTTTTTTTTACCTAAGACACACTGTCACTAACTGACACTGATACCAATTTAACAAAAAAAAAAAATCATCCAGACCTTGACCTTTGACCCTGACATTGGCCCAAACACTTACCCTGGCACTGAGCTAGATCAAACCTTGATCTAGGTATTTTTCTTTATTTTTTATTTTATTTTTTAATATTTATTTATCTTTTTTTTTTTTTTTTTTTTTTTTACAAACATTTTTTTTCCTTTCTATGCCAGGAGTTAGAGAGCTACAATATATCTCTGTCCTCCATTCATAAAGAGAAAAAAAAACAAGGGTGCCGGGCTGTACAGTGACTGATCACTGATAGCCAATCAGAGGCTATTAGCCAATCAGAGGCTATTACAGCGATCATGTGACCCGGAATCGGGAGTCCCGGGTCCCGATCGTTAGAACGGGGGCCCGGGGCTCTCAGTGACACCGCGTTCTTTGTGCTGGGAGCACGCCATACGGCACGCTCCCAGCAGAAAGACAGGTACGCAAATATGCGGCCCCACAGAAAAAAGCCCAGTTCTGTGAGGCTGCATATTTGTGTGACGGCGTCAAGGGGTTAAACTTCAGATAGAACGAACTCTGAGCAAAGTACGCATAGAAACTGAGCTCCAGCCAAGTATACACGTTGTTGTACACAATGTCAATGGTATAAAAAAAGCAGCATTACAGTATATTATATAGAAAGTATCAAACATTAGGTGAAAAAGTTAAAATATACGTACCTTACATCCCAGCTTCTGCTTGTGGGACACCTAGGCAAGGGTGACTTGACAGACATTTTGGCAAGATCCTGAGCTGAGGATGCTAAATCTTGCAAGATTATCTGACACAGTGCCCCAGCATCTCTTATGGGATTTGGCATCCTCTGCTTTCCCAGGATCTACCTACTGAATCCAGTATATAAGGTAAGTATATTTAGGATTTTTTTTTTTCTTAACATGTAATATTTTCTTTTTTTCACGGTGAAGTGTGAAGTTTAAAAGTTAAAGTTGGGCTCATTAATACATTGTTACATTTCTCTTAAATGCAAGCAGTGCAAGTACTTGAGTATGACCTGGCATCAGCCCGTTGTAGTCCACTATGCAGCAGAGCTCAGACTAGGGGAGGAGAAGCAGCACAAGTAGCTGAGCAGTTGTGCTGCTGTGCAAAGAGCAGGCTGGTAAGAGGAGAGAGCAGAGCGGCAGGTGACCTCATAATCTTCTTTAGGCCCCATGTACACGGGACACTTCTGAACAATGGAAACTGACTGCTGGAAAACGTAGGTTAAAAAAACGTCTGTTTAGCCGCAGTTGCATAATGCTTTTATTTGCGTTTAGAAGCATTTTTTAAAGATAAGCACAAGAGAACATCCCAAATGCCCAGGATGCACTAAAAAGTGGTACATTATTAACTATTTCAGACTGTTTTCAGAGAAATACAGAGAGTAGAAGCAGAGACAGCAGTATGTGTTGAGATTAGCTTAGGTGTGAGTTGCTCATTAACATTTCTTTTGTTTCCAAGGGTGGGAAAGGTGTCTGGTGGAGGGAGTCATTAAGGTCACCTGGCAGGGGGTCTTCATGAGGAAATTGCGGTGCAAATGGTCATTAACATATCTTTTGTTTCCAAGGGTGGGAGAGGTCTGAGGTGTAAATTGGTCATTACAATGTGTGACATGCTTGGTAGGATTATCCTGTTTTTCAGTGTTTTGTCCATCTGAGTACCTTGAAAACGCTTTGCATGCATTTTTCATGATGAAAAAAGACTCTGGACAGCATCGGGAACTGGAAGAGCTACAAGCGTTTTGCGTTTGAAACGCTGATAAAATCAACTGCTGAACGCAAGTTTTCTGCGTTCAAAAATCGACTGTAAACTCAACTGCCTGTAAATGACGATGTGTACATGGACATATAGGAAAACATTAGGGTGAGTTCAGGGGCTGCTGAAAAAAACGCTGAAATTCTCCTAAACGTGATTTTATGCTGAACACAGCCCTCCTAAACGTCCGGTTCCATATCAACGGCCGGACTGCAGGCAGTACATGGTCAGCCCTTACATGCTCCTAAACGTCAGTTTATCAGCTGCAGTGTAGGCCCTTAAGGGTCACAAGGAAGGGGTGGGGGGAGTGGACCTATATGTGAAAGAAAAACCGCATCGAAGAAAGTTCTAGTCTCTGCCACTGCTAAACAGGGCTGTGCTGTATGGCAGAGCTGGGTAAATCTCAGGGCAGGATGCACTGAAATACAGATTTTTTTGGCCTGTAAAATAGCTCTCAAATATGTTTTTTATCAATGTATTTAGCTGTTTGCCCAGAGTTCAGCTGTAAGTGGACATTGGCTTTTGATGCAAGGTCCTCTTTTGTAACACCCCAACACCCAGCACAGTGGCTAAATGGTGAGCACTTCCGCCTGGCAGTACTAGGGTCGTTGGTTCAAATCCCAGCCACGGCACCTCCTGCCTGGAGTTTGCATGTTCTCCCTGTGCCTGCGTGGGTTTCCTCCGGAGACTCCGGTTTCCTTCCCACACTCCAAAGACATGCTGGTAGATTAATTGGATCCTTTCTAAATTAGCCCTTGTATGTGTATGTATGAATGTAAGTTAGGGACCTTAGATTGTACACCCCTTGAGGGTTAGGGACTGATGTGAATGTACAATATATATGTAAAGCGCTGCGTAATATTGACGGCGCTATATAAGTACCTGAAATAATAAATAATAAAACATAATCCAAGTAAAAAACAAGTAACTCTGGCACACAGGAGTAAAGTGGTGTAAGAGTGAAAAGGATACAAATGATAAAGTAAAAGCTGATAATGGCAATATTGGCATACAAGTACTTAAAACAGGGTATGCAAATGCATTGGTGTACAATAAGTCCTTATAAGAGTCTCTCAGGCAATCTGCCTGGAATCCTTTTAGCACACAAAGATGGCAGCCATCCTCGGGGCAAGCCAGCTCTGTATGCAGGGACAGAAGAAAAGAGACAGGGACGTTCTGAGGAACGGTCATCTCTCATGTACACAGATGAGCTTGTTTTATTACTTCCTTTGTGAGTGTTTTTAATCCTTTGCTGTTAAATACAATTTTATTACTACACTTAGACAGGCGCCTCCTGTCCCAAAACATAATCCAAGGATGTCCATTTTATTATTATTATTATTAGTTATTTTTCATTATTTAGTAGAATTGCCTCCTGAATAAAGCCTATCTTTCCCTATTAACTGTTGGTTATATTCCACCTTTTCTTGTAGAATCAGAATTGCAGGAATTCGAGGGATCCAGGGCGTTGTCCGTAAAACTGTAAATGACGAGCTTCGTGCGACAATCTGGGAACCGCAACACATGGATAAAATAGTTCCATCATTGCTGTTTAATATGCAGAAGATAGAGGACAATGACAGGTATGTGATTAAAGAGAACAAGAACACCGGGGCTGTTATGTCAAAACACAGGTGTTGTTCTTTTCCTGAGCAACCAATAAGGCTGGCCATACATTATACAACTTTCTTGTACAGTTTTCCTTTAGATTTACCAAAACCATTTATTATGAGGTCAAACCTAAACACTTTCAATTTGTATGCAATCAGGCAGGCCCTTGCACTACTTTCAATCAGGCAGGCCCTTGCACTACTTTCAATCAGGCAGGCCCTTGCACTACATTCAATCAGGCAGGCCCTTGCACTACTTTCAATCAGGCAGGCCCTTGCACTACTTTCAGTCAGGCAGGCCCTTGCACTACTTTCGATCAGGCAGGCCCTTGCACTACTTTCAGTCAGGCAGGCCCTTGCACTACTTTCGATCAGGCAGGCTCTTGCACTACTTTCAGTCAGGCAGGCCCTTGCGCTACTTTCAATCAGGAAGGCCCTTGCGCTACTTTCAGTCAGGCAGGCCCTTGCACTACTTTCAATCAGGCAGGCCCTTTCACTACTTTCAATCAGCAGGCCCTTGCACTACTTTCAATCAGGCAGGCCCTTGCACTACTTTCAATCAGGCAGGCCCTTGCACTACTTTCAATCAGGCAGGCCCTTGCACTACTCTCAATCAGGCAGGCCCTTGCACTACTTTCAATCAGGCAGGCCCTTGCACTACTTTCGATCAGGCAGGCCCTTGCACTACTTTCGATCAGGCAGGCCCTTGCACTACTTTCAATCAAGCAGGGCCCTTGCGCTACTTTCAATCAGGAAGGCCCTTGCGCTACTTTCAGTCAGGCAGGCCCTTGCACTACTTTCAATCAGGCAGGCCCTTGCACTACATTCAATCAGGCAGGCCCTTGCACTACTTTCAGTCAGGCAGGCCCTTGCTCTACTTTCAGTCAGGCAGGCCCTTGCTCTACTTTCAATCAGGCAGGCCCCTTGCTCTACTTTCAATCAGGCAGGCCCTTGCACTACTTTCAGTCAGGCAGGCCCTTGCACTACTTTCAGTCAGGCAGGCCCTTGCACTACTTTCAATCAGGCAGGCCCTTGCACTACTTTCGATCAGGCAGGCCCTTGCACTACTTTCGATCAGGCAGGCCCTTGCACTACTTTTGACCAGGCAGGCCCTTGCGATACTTTCAATCAGGCAGGCCCTTGCGCTACTTTCAGTCAGGCAGGCCCTTGCGCTACTTTCAATCAAGCAGGCCCTTGCGCTACTTTCAATCAGGAAGGCCCTTGCGCTACTTTCGATCAGGCAGGCCCTTGCGCTACTTTCGATCAGGCAGGCCCTTGCACTACTTTCGATCAGGCAGGTCCTTGCACTACTTTCGATCAGGCAGGCTCTTGCACTACTTTCGATCAGGGAGGCCCTTGCACTACTTTCAATCAGGCAGGCCCTTGCGCTACTTTCGATCAGGCAGGCCCTTGCGCTACTTTCAATCAGGCAGGCCCTTGCGCTACTTTCAATCAGGCAGGCCCTTGCGCTACTTTCAATCAGGAAGGCCCTTGCGCTACTTTCAGTCAGGCAGGCCCTTGCACTACTTTCAATCAGGCAGGCCCTTGCGCTACTTTCAATCAGGCAGGCCCTTGCACTACTTTCAATCAGGCAGGCCCTTGCACTACTCTCAATCAGGCAGGCCCTTGCACTACTCTCAATCAGGCAGGCCCTTGCACTACTTTCAATCAAGCAGGCCCTTGCACTACTTTCAATCAAGCAGGCCCTTGCACTACTCTCAATCAGGCAGGTCCTTGCACTACTTTCAATCAGGCAGGCCCTTGCACTACTTTCAATCAGGCAGGCCCTTGCACTACTTTCAATCAGGCAGGCCCTTGCACTACTTTCAGTCAAGCAGGCCCTTGCACTACTCTCAATCAGGCAGGTCCTTGCACTACTTTCAATCAGGCAGGCCCTTGCACTACTTTCAATCAGGCAGGCCCTTGCACTACTTTCGATCAGGGAGGCCCTTGCACTACATAGTTGAAGGTAAATCATAAGGAAATTGAATTAAAATTTTTGTATAATGTATGCTGAGGGCGTGTGCCCCTGCATGCTCCCAGCACACTGTCGGGTACTCACGGAAAGATCCCGATCTCCTCTTTCGATCTGGACCTTTCCCGATCATGTGACCACCGTGACAGCGGATCACGGCAGTCACATGACCATAAAGCCCCGCCTCCCAGCTTCTGAAACCCTTAAAGGGCCAGGAGGCGCCGGCGCCAAGGGTTTAAAATTCTAATTCTGGTTTCTCTGGTACATATCCGAGAAGAAAAAGATATAAAAGTCTTGTAGATTGGAAGCATGGTCTTACAGAGTTTGAGATCCCTGACCCACCTCATTTCATCCAGAACCACGCCAGCCGCACACAGTTCAGCAGGGTGGACTTGTAACAGCCAGCCAATGAGTAGCAGGGGATTAGATGGTCACCTCTTTGGCCAGTAGCTGTAATTATAAGCGGAGTCTTTTCTTCTACAGTAGTGATATGCTGAGGGGAAAAGCAACTGTCCATACAGGGGAGTTTATCTGTGTGTTTCAGGAGAAGATGACTGTAAAGCCGGCCATGGATGGATCGAATCTCAGCCGGTTGAGCAGAGACCAGTCAATATGCGGTCCCATATATAGGCAGGCTTGTTGTACTGAAGTCGATCCATTGATCGACTTTAGTACAACCAGCCTGTCAGATTTTTTTCATGCAATCACTGTTGGCTGCTATAGACTTGTTCACAGTGTGTTTAAGATGCTGCTGTGGTGCATTTCAATAGAAGTGAATAGAGGCAGTTGCAAAGCGTCAACGCCTGCCAAACTTTGCGTTATTTTTTGCCGTGCCGCAATACAAAGCAATGCTAATGCTGCACTGTGAACTCCTCCACCCGCTGCCTATATAACAATTTTAGTAGTGTTGATAGGCAGTCAGGAAGTGGTGAAAATGCAACCCCAAATTTTTAATGCCTGGAATTTTCAAGAGCCCAAACAATTCTATTTTTTTGTGTGTCTTTATTGAACACACCCATTAAGCACTCACAGTGCTGGAAGAAAAAGTAAGTGAACAGCTGAGATGGCGCTGTGTGCTTTTTATTGAATTAAAGGATAAGTTCACCTTTTTGACCAAAAATAATGAATGCACATTTTTTTTGCAGGTTAAAAAAAAAGTGCATTTATTATTTTGGTTGTTGGAGCCTATAAAGCATTGCACCAGCGATCAGCAGATTGCTGGTGCCATGTACATCTCCTGCAGATCTGTCTGTATATCTGCTTGCCCATACGGGATGTACAAGCAAGCAGATTTACTGAAAGGGAGTATTAGTGAACTACCACGGTGCTCCACAGCGCCGTAATAGTTCATTGAGAGCTACAAGTCAACAGCCGCTAAGGCTGCTGGGACTTGTAGTTCATTAATTCACAGAACACTGAATGAATGATGCGGCCGCGTGGGCTGACCCCCAGATGGCCGTTCTGTTTTTAAAAAGTGACAGCTAGTACTTTTCCCCGTATTCCCCGTACTACTTTCACAAAGGGGGGGGGGGGGGGATCGGGCAGCGGCTGCAGCATTGCATTGGGTACATATTCCATATTCTACCCTAAAAACGGGTGGAACATGGAACCTGTAACATGTTCCTAAAGGTAAACTTATCCTTTAGGCCCCATGTACACGGGACACTTCTGAACGATGGAAACTGACTGCTGGAAAACATAGGTTAAAAAACGTCTGTTGAGCCGCGTTTATGTGCGTTTGTGTTTAGAAGTGTTTTTTTAAAGATAAGCACAAGAGAACCTCCCAAATGCCCAGAATGCACTGAAAAGTGATAAATTATTAACTATTACAGACTGTTTCAAACAAATACAGAGAGTAGAAGCAGAGACAGCAGAATGTGTTGAGATTAGCTTAGGTGTGAGTTGCTCATTAACATTTCTTTTGTTTCCAAGGGTGGGAAAGGTGTCTGGTGGAGGGAGTCATTAAGGCCACCTGGCAGGGGGTCTTCATGAGGAATTTGAGGTGTGAATGGTCATTACAATGTGTGACAAGCTTGGTAGGAACATCCTGTGTTCAGTGTTTTGTCCATCTGAGTACCTTGAAAATGCTTTGCATGCATTTCTCATGATGAAAAAAGGCTCTGGACAGCATTGGGAACTGGAAGAGTTAAAAACAATTTTCAAACGCAAATGCTTTTAAACGCGATTTGCTGCATTTAGCCGCGTTTACAAGTGTTTTGCATTTGAAACGCTGATAAAATCAACTGCTGAACTTACGTTTTTCTGCGTTCAAAAAAACGGCTGTAAACTCAAATGCTTGTAAACGACTGTAAACGAAGATGTGTACATGGACACATAGGAAAACATTAGGGAGAGTTCAGGGGCTGCTGAAAAAAACGCTGAACAGCTCCTAAACGTGATTTTATCAGCTGCAGTGTACATGAGCCCTTAACCACTTCCCGACCGGCCGTTCCATATAAACGGCCGGACGGTGGCAGTGCAGGGTCAGGTGGCCGTTTAGAAACGGCCTACCCGCACCCTGCTTGTGCGCGCTCCCTCGGAGCGCGCAGCACCGCGATCCGGTGCCCACTGTGTCCTCCGGACACAGTGAAACACCGATCGTCGGACGGGACCTCTGTACGAGGTCCCGATCATGTGATCACTGATTGGTCAATCAGTGATCACATGCAAAGTAGTAATCAAGATGTCACTTGTGACATCATTGCTTACTACGTGTGAAATCTGTGAATGATCACAGAGGTCACATGGTACAAGGCTATTCACAAAAGCCTTGTACCATGTGACAAGCTGTGACCAATCACAGCTCACTCACTACTTCTCAATGAGTGCAAGAATGCACACAGAGAGAAAGAGAAATGATTGCTTTTACATCCTTTATGGGTGTAAAAGCAATCAGTGTAAAAAAAAAAAAAAAGAAAAATCTTCATCACCCCCCACAAGTAGTACAGTGTCACCATGGTGACACTCTACTGCTAGGGTGACAGTATGTAAAAAATAATAAATAAATAAAAAATAATAATATAAAAATGTAAAAAAAAAGTTTAAAAATTATAATTTTTGGTTCTAAACTAATTTGGATTTTTTTTTTTACTAAAAAGATAACGGAATAAATTTTGGCAAAGATTTATGATGAAATATTATTTATTTGCAAAATTTTATAAAAAAAAACACTTTTTAAAAATTTTTTTGGACTTTTTCATTTACATAGCAAAAAAAATAAAAATCCCAGCGGTGAATAAATACCACCAAAATAAAGCTTTATCTGTCTCAAAAAATTGGTAAAAAATTCATTTGGGTACAGTGTTGCATGACAGCGCAATTGTCATTCAAAGTGTGATAGCGCTGAAAGCTGAAAATTGCCCTGGACAGGAAGGGGGTGAAAGTGTCCGGTCTGGAAGTGGTTAAAGTGAACCTGTTCACACTAACCTGAAGTTTGTGCCAAAATTTAGCTTCTGCTGTTACAGCCGAGAGATTGATTTTGCTTAATATGTGCCAGAGAATGTCTCATGCGGTATGGCAGCGACTGTTCAAAAATACTCCATCTCAGAATGTCAACACAGTACAAAATGAACTCATCTGCACGCAGGGAATCCATCATCAGTCGTGTCACTTTGTCAGAATCAAAGTCGTCCTTCAGTTGTCTCCTCTGCACATCATGTCACTTGCATTCAGTTAGCGCGCAGTGGAATCTGAATAGTCATTTTTTTTTTTCTTTCTTGCAGTCGAATCGGTCCCCCGGCATCCCCCAGCGTCACCGAAAAAGAGGAGAATCCTGGGGTCCTGGCAGAGAACTGCTTCAGAGAACTACTTGGAAGAGCCGCTTATGGGAATATGAATAATGCCGTTCGCCCAGTGTTTGCGTATGTCGAAGTATTTTTATTCATATATGAATTGTGCGTCTGATGATGATTTCTTTCTAATTTAATCTCGACTGAATCAAAATGGCTACCTGATTGCTACAGCCAATTGTAGCCATTTAATAAATAATATTTGTTTAGCAAATAGAAGAAATGCCTTATTGCCCCTATTTGTAAACAAAGCCATTTGTAAACAAACTGTTTTTATGCCCCCCACACACACCGGCTTCAAAAAAATATACTTACCTCAGTTCCTGTGGGAGGCATAGGTGATGTTACCGCCCCTCCCAACAGAGGTGGAAGCTCGAAATCCATCAGGGATACACTCCAGTCCTTTGCAGTTCATTCTCACTAGAATTTGAGCCCCCAGCTGTGCCAGGAGGCATGGTGCCTCACTGAAGCGTCAACGGCTAGAGCCAAGGTAAGTACTTTTTTCGTTAGTTTGAGTAAATGGTTTGTTTACAAATGAACTGGGGAGGGGGGCGGCAGCTGGCAACAAAGTGGACCTTCTGTTTGCCATGGAAGGTCCACTTTTATGTTTTTCTATATTGATACACTTATCTTTTTGGCACTTTTAGTAAAATTTATCCACCATGAGATTATGACTGCTTGAAGTTGAGCCTGAAGTCTAGGCTGACAGCCTATGGACAGCAAGTGATCGCTGCATGAGAGATTACATACAAGTGGACATCATTAGCTGTGGGAGCCGGTAGCCTCCCATTAGTGGGGCTACATTTCGCAGCTAATCATGGGAATCCCTGCTGGGGTTCCCACATGTCATTGGAGGCAGGGTCACAGGTGTGAATGCACCCTTAATGGGACAGTGGGAAAGGAACCTCTGCATGCTGTCACAGGTGGGAGATGGATTCTTTACAAAAAGGTTGCACCCTATATCAGCGGTCTCCAAACTTTCTAAACAAAGGGCCAGTTTATTATCCTTCAGACTTTAGAGAGGCCAGACTGTGGCCAGTAGGAGTAGACAATGTCCTGGCATCTGTAACACAATGCCCCATCATTGGGTGTCAGTGGGAGGAATAGTGCCCCATCATTGGGCATAAGTGGGAGGAATAGTGCCCTACCATTGGTATCAGTGGGAGAAATAGTGCCCCATCATTGGTGTCAGTGGGAGGAATAGTGCCCCATCATTGGTATCAGTGGGAGGAATAGTGCCCCATCATTGGTATCAGTGGGAGGAATAGTGCCCCATCACTGGTGGTCAGTGGGAGGAATAGTGCCCCATCACTGGTGTCAGTGGGAGGAATAGTGCCCCATCACTGGTGTCAGTGGGAGGAATAGTGCCCCATCATTGGTGTCAGTGAGAGGAATAGTGCCCCATCATTGGTGTCAGTGGGAGGAAAGTTGCCCTATCATTGGTATCAGTGGGAGGAATAGTTCCCCATCATTGGTATCAGTGGGAGGAATAGTGCCCCATCGTTGGTATCAGTGGGAGGAATAGTGCCCCATCATTGGTATTAGTGGGAGGAATAGTGTCCCATCACTGGTGTCAGTGGAAGGAATAGTGCCCCATCATTGGTGTAATTGGAAGGAATAGTGCACCATCACTTGTGTCAGGGGAAGGAATAGAGCCCCATGATTGGTGTCAGTGAGAGGATTGGTTCCCCTTCATTAGTGTCAGAGGAATAGAGCCCCAAGATTGGTGTCAGTGAGAGGATTGGTTCCCCTTCATTGTTGTCAGTGAGAGGGATAGTGCCCCAGGATTGGATTCAGTGGCAGGAATAATGCCCCAAGGGCTGGATAAAGGCAAGCCAGGTGCCTCAGCTTGGCTACCACTGCCCTAAATACAAATGTAACATGTTCCTAAAGGTGAACTTGGCTTTTAAGCACTCAGTATTGTGAAATCTGCTGCATTTTGGGATTTATTTTTTTTTTTTTTAGCAAAAACATTTGTTTCTGCCTACAAGCCTTTGTATCCTTCTACAAGTTATATTCATTCATTTTCAATAGCATTACCTCATCTTTGTAAACATATTTTTCCCTCAAACGATTCATATTTTCCTTTTCATCTGTAAGAAATGAAAACTTCCCTCCCAGTTTGGTCTTATTTTTTCATGTTATTAATTAGAGAGCTGCGCATTGTTTGATATTATGTTACAGCAATATTTCACAGCTTGAAAAAGACGCAAACTATGTACTCTCCGAGTTCTGTATCATTAATGAATGAAGCAACGTTATAATTATGTTCCCATTATCCCAGGCACTTGTGTTGCCTTCTGATTCACGGCGTTACGGCCAATTACTGCGAAATACCTGGGTTTTTTTTTAGCTTTTCTTTTTCTTAGCCGCATCTCAATATTTTAATAGCCTGTTTTTTCAAAGGTGTTAATTAAATTTTGGAAAGGGGTGGGGGTGGGGTGACTAGGTTTCACTTCTTTTTGGAACTGTACAAAATATTGCTTTTAGTTTTCCTTCAGTGGTTTATAAAAATGAATGCGGAACACATGGGAGGGGTGCTGGGTGATAAGATGTTGTATAAAACACCATACAGTATATAGCATCACATGGCTGTCTTAAGTCCCTGGTCCAGCCTGTGCACTGTAATGCTCCATAGGCTGCCCTAGGGCGAGGATATCTGGGTTCCCAAATCCATATACCCATTGTGCTACACACTATACACTAGTGACCAGGAATACCTCCCCCTTGGGTATACCATCATATCTCAGGTGTGATCCAGGAGGGGTGTAGGGAGAGGGGGGCTTTGTAGGGGTGGTGGTGGGAGAGGGGGGCTTTGTAGGGGTGGTGTTGGGTGGGGGGGTGGCTCTGGGGTTCCGAGGGATATTTGTGGGGAGGCATAGAACATGTGATGCCATATACTGTATGGTGTTTTATGCAATAAGCTATATTTTGGATGGTAGCTGATTGGGTGTCTGTATCTTTTTTTTTCTTTTCTTTTTTTCTATTCTTTCCTTTTGTGTAATACGTTAATTTGGTGACACCCAACTTGTACTGTGAAAGGTAGCATGACCTTTTGCTGGACTCCCAGGACCATGACTGTTGGCTTGCTAAGAGTGTTTGTAAGTAAACATCACAATGTGTGTGTATGAAAAAAAAAAAAATATATATATTTTGTGTGTGTATATGTGTATATATACAGTGAGGAACAGAAGTATTTGAACACCCTGCGATTTTGCAAGTTCTCCCACTTAGAAATCATGGAGGGGTCTGAAATTCACATTGTAGGTGCATTCCCACTCTGAGAGACAGAATTTAAAAAAAACATTCAGGAAATCACATTGTATGATTTTTAAAGAATGTATTTGTCTCGCACTGCTGAACATAAGTATTTGAACACCTGAGAAAATCAGTGTTAATATTTTGTACAGAAGCCTTTCTTTGCAATTACAAAGGTCAAACATTTCCTGTAGTTCCTGACCAGGTTTGCACTGCAACAGGGATTTTGGCCCACTCCTCCACACAGATCTCCTCTAGATCTGTCAGGTTTCGGGGCTGTCGCTGAGCAACACGGAGTTTTCAGCTCCTTCCAAAGATGTTCTATTGGATTTAGGTCTGGAGACTGGCTAGGCCACTCCAGAACCTTGATATGCTTCTTACGGAGCCACTCCTTAGTTATCCTGGCTGTGTGCTTCGGGTCGTTGTCACGTTGGAAGACCCAGCCACGACCCATCTTCAATGCTCTAACTAAGGGAAGGAGGTTGTTGCTCAAAATCTCACAACAAATGGCCGCATTCATCCTCTCCTTAATACAGTGCAGTCGTCCTGTCCCCTTCGCAGAAAAGCACCCCCCAAAGCATGATGTTACCACCCCCATGCTTCACAGTAGGGATGGTGTTCTTGGGATGCAACTCATCCTTTTTCCTCCAAACACGAGTTTAGACCAAGAAGTTCTACTTTTGGCCTCATCTGACCACATGACTTTCTCCCATGCCTCCTCTGGATCATCCAGATGGTCATTGGCAAACTTCAGACGGGCCTGGACATGTGATGACTTGAGCAGGGGAACCTTCCGTGCAATGCATGATTTGAAACCATGATGGCGTAGTGTTCTACCGACAGTGACCTTTGAAACTGTGGTCCCAGCTCTCTTCATGTCATTGAACAGCTCCTCCCTTGTAGTTCTGGGCTGATTCCTCACCTTTCTTATCATCAGTGATACCCCACGAGGTGAGATTTTGCATGGAGCCCCAGTCCGAGGGAGACTGACAGTCATCTTTAGCCTCTTCCATTTTCTAACAATTGCTCCAACAGTTGATCTATTTTCACAAAGCTGCTTGGCAATTACCCCGTAGCCCTTTCCAGCATTGTGGAGGTTCACAATTTTGTTTCTGGTGTCTTTGGACAGCTCTTTGGTCTTTTCCATGGTAGTAGTTGGCGTCTGACTGACTGTTGGGTGGACAGGTGTCTTTAAAGAGCCCAGACAGGTGCTACTAAGTTAGATGAATGAGTGGAGTAGAGGTGGACTTTTTAAAGGCACAGTAACAGGTCTTTGAGAGCCAGAATTCTTGCTGTTTCTCAGGTGTTCAAATACTTATGTTCAGCAGAGCAAGACAAATAAATTCTTTAAAAATCATACAATGTGATTTCCTGAATTTTTTTTTTAATTTTGTCTCTCAGAGTGGGAATGCACCTACAATGTGAATTTCAGACCCCTCCATGATTTCTAAGTGGGAGAACTTGCAAAATCGCAGGGTGTTAAAATACTTTTGTTCCTCACTGTATATATTATTATTATTATTATTACATCGAGTTTATATAGCGCCAAAGGGTTTGCTCAGCGCTGTACAATAGGGGGGACAATACATGGCACAGTACAACAAAAACAGACAGCGTACGAGGGGTAAGAGGGCCCTACTCTTTCAAGCTTACAATCTAGGAGGGAGGGGGCAGTGGAACAATAGGAAGTGGCTAAGGGGAATGAAGTGGCTGAGGGGGATGAAGTGGTGGGAGGAATGAGGGAGGATGGCCGTTAGGTGAGGGTGGGGTAGGCTTCCCTGAAGAGATGGGTTTTGAGGGAGCGCCTGAATGTGGGGAGGGAAGGCGACATATATATACAGTCAGGTCCATAAATATTGGGACATCGACTCAATTCTAACATTATTGGCTCTATACACCACCACAATGGATATGAAATGAAACAAACAAGATGTGCTTTAACTGCAGACTGTCAGCTTAAATTTTAGGGTATTTACATCCAAATCTGGTGAACGGTGTAGGAATTACAACAGTTTGCATATGTGCCTCCCACTTGTTACGGGACCAAAAGTAATGGGACAGAATAATAATCATAAATCAAACTTTCACTTTTTAATACTTGGTTTCAAATCCTTTGCAGTCAAGTACAACCTGAAGTCTGGAACGCATAAACATCACCAGACGCTGAGTTCCATCCCTGGTGATGCTCTGCCAGGCCTCTACTGCAACTGTCTTCAGTTCCTGCTTGTTCTTGGGGCATTTTCCCTTCAGTTTGTCTTCAGCAAGTGAAATGCATGCTCAATCAGATTCAGGTCAGGTGATTGACTTGGCCATTGCACTTCTTTCCCTTAAAAAACTCTTTGGTTGCTTTTGCAGTCTGCTTTGGGTCATTGTCCATCTGCACTGTGAAGCGGCGTCCAATGAGTTCTGAAGCATTTGGCTGAATATGAGCAGATAATATTGCCCAAAACACTTCAAAATTCATCCGCTGCTTTTGTCAGCAGTCACATCATCAATAAATACAAGAGAACCAGTTTCATTGGCAGCCATACATGCCCACACCATGACACTACCACCACCATGCTTCACTGATGAGGTGGTATGCTTAGGATCATGAGCAGTTCCTTTCCTTCTCCATACTCTTCTCTTCCCATCACTCTGGTACAAGTTGATCTTGGTCTCATCTGTCCATAGGATGTTGTTCCAGAACTGTGAAGGCTTTTTTAGATGTTGTTTGGCAAACTCTAATCTGGCCTTCCTGTTTTTGAGGCTCACCAATGGTTTACATCTTGTGGTGAACCCTCTGTATTCACTCTGGTGAAGTCTTCTCTTGATTGTTGACTTTGACACACATACACCTACCTCCTGGAGAGTGTTCTTGATCTGGCCAACTGTTGTGAAGGGTGTTTTCTTCAGCAGGGAAATCATTCTTCAGTCATCCACCACAGTTGTTTTCCGTGGTCTTCCGGGTCTTTTGGTGTTGCTGAGCTCACCGGTGCGTTCCTTCTTTTTAAGAATGTTCCAAACAGTTGTTTTGGCCACGCCTATTGTTTTTGCTATCTCTCTGATGGGTTTGTTTTGTTTTCAGCCTAATGATGGCTTGCTTCACTGATAGTGACAGCTCTTTGGATCTCATCTTGAGAGTTGACAGCAACACTTTCCAAATGCAAATAGCACACTTGAAATGAATTCTGGACCTTTTATCTGCTCATTGTAATTGGGATAATGAGGGAATAACACACACCTGGCCATGGAATAGCTGAGAAGCCAATTGTCCCATTACTTTTGGTCCCTTAACAAGTGGGAGGCACATATGCAAACTGTTGTAATTCCTACACTGTTCACCTGATTTGGATGTAAATACCCTCAAATTAAAGCTGACAGTCTGCAGTTATAGCACATCTTGTTCGTTTCATTTCAAATCTATTGTGGTGGTGTATAGAGCCAAAAATGTTAGAATTGTGTCAATGTCCCAATACTTATGGACCTGACTGTATATATATATATATATATATATATATATATATATATATGTGTGTGTGTGTGTGTATATAAATATAATATATGTGTATATAATATATATATATATATTATATATATATATATATATATATATATATATATATATATATATATATGGGACTATTGTTGCTGTTGGGGAATCTAATGTTGCTGGGAGGAGGGCTTATGTTTCTGGAGGAATCCACTTTTGAGGGAGAGGATGTGAACATGCCAGAGCTCATTCTTAGTCGTGGTCTCTTTGCTTCAGTGTTTTTTTTGCCAAGTCCCTTGCGTTCCGGCTCCTTTTTACTGTGACCTCTGCACATCGGCTTGCCATGACCTTTATGCGTCGGTGCTAGCTTGTTGTGACCTATGCGCAATATTGTTTGTTTACTCTGATCTTGAAGTGTTGGGTTTTGCATGCCATGACCTCTGCACATCTGCCTTTGCTTGCTGCAACCTCTATGCATCTGTGTTTGCTTGCCATGACCTCTGTGCAGCGGCATCTATTTGCCATGACCTCTGTGCAGCGGCGTCTATTTGCCATGACCTCTGTGCAGCGGCGTCTACTTGCCATGACCTCTGTGCAGCGGCGTCTACTTGCCATGACCTCTGTGCAGCGGCGTCTACATGCCATGACCTCTGTGCAGCGGCGTCTACTTTCCATGACTTCTGTGCAGCGGCATCTACTTGCCATGACCTCTGTGCAGCGGCGTCTACTTGCCATGACCTCTGTGCAGCGGCGTTACTTGCCATGACCTCTGTGCAGCGGCGTTTACTTGCCATGACCTCTGTGCAGCGGCGTCTACTTGCCATGACCTCTGTGCAGCGGCGTCTACTTGCCATGACCTCTGTGCAGCGGCGTCTACTTGCCATGACCTCTGTGCAGCGGCGTCTACTTGCCATGACCTCTGTGCAGCGGCGTCTACTTGCCATGACCTCTGTGCAGCGGCGTCTACTTTCCATGACTTCTGTGCAGCGGCGTCTACTTTCCATGACCTCTGTGCAGCGGCGTCTACTTTCCATGACCTCTGTGCAGCGGCGTCTACTTTCCATGACCTCTGTGCAGCGGCGTCTACTTTCCATGACCTCTGTGCAGCGGCGTCTACTTTCAAAGACCTCTGTGCAGCGGCGTCTACTTTCCATGACCTCTGTGCAGCGGCGTCTACTTGCCATGACCTCTGTGCAGCGGCGTCTACTTGCCATGACCTCTGTGCAGCGGCGTCTACTTGCCATGACCTCTGTGCAGCGGCGTCTACTTTGCCATGACCTCTGTGCAGCGGCGTCTACTTTCCATGACCTCTGTGCAGCGGCGTCTACTTTCCATGACCTCTGTGCAGCGGCGTCTACTTTCCATGACCTCTGTGCAGCGGCGTCTACTTTCCATGACCTCTGTGCAGCGGCGTCTACTTGCCATGATCTCTGTGTGTTCGATTTTGCCTGCTGCGATCTCTGAGTCTCAGAATTTGCTTGCCTTAACCTCTACCCATTGTCTTCTACTTGCATTGGCTTTTGCTTGCCACATTCTCTGCCCATGGGCTTGTGCTTGTCATGACCTTCAGGGTTCAGCTTGTGCTCGCTGTGAACTAAACATGATCTTGAGTTGGTAGTGTATGCCTTTCATGATCTTATTATGTACTTGCTGTGACCTTGGACAGTCTTGGCGAGCCATCCTTAATTTTTGAATGACTCGCCATGTGGTTGGGTTCAACTGGAGATATCACAGTTCTTGCTATGATGAAATATCGCACTTGCTGTGCTCCCTGGTACCACTTGCTGTACTACTTGCTCCCCTGGTACCACTTGCTGTGCTCCCTGGTACCACTTGCTGTGCTCCCTGGTACTACTTGCTGTGCTCCCTGGTACCACTTGCTGTGCTCCCTGGTACCCTTGCTGTGCTACCCGCACCGCTTGCCATGCTCCCTGTACTACAGCTTGTGTTCTTTGTCACCTTGAGATGTCCTAATGAATACTTGCCTGTATGACTGCAGGTTATATGTAGATAAATTGTTAGGCCTACCCTTTTGATGCTTCACCCTTGTCTGGTACGGCAAAGTTCAGAGATTCTGTTTGTTTGGAACAGCAGGATAAGTAGCCTGAGGGTTGCATGAAAGTGTGCATGAGGTTCTTGTATAATATTTCTTGTTGTCATCTAAGTGGTAAACAGAACCATGTGTATCTGTCAAATCACACAAAATCTTAGATGAGCAATCTGCCCATGTATGGAAACAGAGAAAAAAGAATGTTATTTAAAGCCTTTTCTTTAGAATGGGTGTCAAGGGCAAATGTACCCCAAAATGTGGAGAGGAACAGATATTAAACAATTGTGTTTTTATTTTGCAGGCATCTAGACCATCACAAACTGTGGGAGTCAAACGAGTTTGCTGTTTCCTGCTTTAAAATTATTATGTACTCTATTCAGGTTAGTAAATGAATGCTGTTCACATTTAGATGTCTTCTGTGACTGTCCATCTTTAAAGCTTATTTCCACATTTGAAGTCAAATTTGAGAAAACCTCGCTATATGTTTGTGTTGCATGCAGCATTCATAAAAAAGATTCTTACCTTTTATGATGTTTCTCAGGACAAGGTATCATGGTTGACTGCAAAAGTTTTTGAACAATGTTAAATGCGAGTCTGTCCCAAGTCTGTCCTTATTAAGATATAATGCATGAAGCCCAGCCTCTACACCTTTAATCCTTTGTTAGAACAGACAGTTTTCAAATCTAGGCTTTTTGCCTGGGCAGTACTACGGTCGCTACGGTCGGGTTCGAATCTCAGCCACGGCACCACCTGCCTGGAGTTTGCATGTTCTCCCTCTGCCTGCGTGGGTTTCCTCCGGTTTCCTCCCACACTCCACAATCATGCTGGGAGGTTAATTGGGTCCTGTCTAAATTGTCCCTAGTATGTGTATGTATGAATGTAAGTTAGGGACCTTAGATTGTACGCCCCTTGAGGGTTAGGGACTGATGTGAATGTACAATATATATGTAAAGTGCTGCGTACATTGATGGCGCTATATAAGTACCTGAAATAAATAATGTAAATCTTCCTACACAGTACATTCAGGGTTAAAAATGGCAAACATAGCTACCCAGAACTATGATGCTGAAGAGAACTAGTAGAACTGTAGTATTTTTACTTCCTAGAGGGTTCAGAATAGAGCAGCTAAAAAAGATAAACTACTACTAATGAATACAAAGCCTGCTTGGATTGGCTGACGTTGTGACATCATCAGCCCACCTCTCTGACTCAGCCAATCCGAGCAGGCTTTGTATTCATTAGTAGAATACATCACTTGCCGTGATTGGCCCAGTTATACTGTATGTAGCCGCAGCTACCGTACATACATGCATCCAGCGGGCTGATTACAGTACGGACGTACCGGTACATTTTGAATCCACTTGGCTCAGTATACTGTATATACAGCACATCCAGCGGGCTGACAGATTAATCTCTCATAGGGACATTTGTTTTGAGCCAGCTTGGCTCAGCGCGGTATACTGTATGTACATTACTGCACATCCAGCCAGCTTGGCTCAGCGCGGTATACTGTATGTACAGTATTACCACACATCCAGCCAGCTTGACCCAAACAAACTCAAGGTTCACATTTTATACCCCGCGTATAAGACGACCCCCAATTTTTGGGGTATATTTTTAAGTATAAAAAGTAGTCTTATACGCCAGAAAATACTGTATATCTTTTAAGTTTTGCTGTGTAAATGGGGAAATGTAACAAATGTAAAGTAGGTGTTATTCCACTTTAACTCCAGGATCACACCACTTTAACTTCAGGAGCAATATGCAATTTACACACCGCTCCTGAAGTCGCATCTTATGTATTTCTATGGCACTGTCTTAATAGGTGTGATTTCAAGTAGCACGATTTTAAAAAATAGTTCCCGCATTATATTTTCACCACTTCAGTGCGATTTAACTCGATAGACTGTAGGGTAAATGGGACTGAAGTCACACCTGTGTCTATATCAGCGCTACTTTGAAGTTGCACTTTGAATTGGGACCAGATTGGACCACTTTGAAATCGCATTCGGTGTGAACCAGGGTTAAGGCCACGTACACATGTTTTGATTTGGAATTGTAAGCAGAAATTCCACGATCCTGCCTACAATTCCAAATTGCAGCAAGGTGTGCGCTTTGGGTGCCATTCATCTTGAATGGCACCCCAAACGCTGCTTGATTTTGCTGTCTTGGTCACAGGAAACCCCAAATGTAAAATAGCTCCTGGCTCAGGGCCAAAATTAGGCCCCTGAGCTGCTTTGGCGTGGAGTGAATAGGCTGCACTATGTACGACATGCGTTTCAACCTACTATGAGTAGTGTGAACGGGAACTAAGGGTGTCTTTTTATGACTGCACTCCACCCTACTGCTGTTTACAAATAAATAATAAATGCACATGTTTTTGCAGGTAAAAAAATGTGCATTATTCTGTTTCCACTGGAGCCTGCAAAGTATTGCACCCGCTATCAGTGGATCATGAGTGCAATGTCAGGCATTTACAGACGCTGCCTACAACTCTCCACTCATACCCCTGTAAGGGCAGACAGTTACTAAGCTGCAGGAAGTGTCAGTGAACTACAAGGGCACTGATCAGCACACTCATAGGCCATTAAGAACTACAAGTGCGTCTGCCATGGTGGGAGATGGGACTTGTAGTATCTTCACAGATCACTGATTTTAAATGTGACCGCAGCTGTGGGAAGAAGAACCTCTTCAAGGGGGAGAACTTTGGATCATGTTGCATGTTAAACCCTAAAATGGGTGAACCTATCCTCTTAATGCAGGGCATCTTATCCAAGGGTATACATGCCCCTTGGGGGGTATGGGAGCCGAATGCTGAGGTTTTGAGACTGGATTGTATATAAACGGCCGGACAGTGGCAGTGCAGGGTCGGGTGGCCATTTATAAACAGCCTCCTCGCCCCCTGCTTGTGCGCCCTCCTCCGGACACAGTGGAACACCGATCATCGGACAGGACTATTGGACGGGACCTCTGTGCAAGGTCCCAATCATGTGCTCACTGATTGGCCAATCAGTGATCACATGCAGAGTAGTAAGCAAGTTGTCACTTCTGACATCATTGCTTACTACGTGCGAAATCTGTGAATGATCAGAGGTCACATGGTACAATGCTATTCACAACAGCCTTGTAACAAGCTGTGACCAATCACAGCTCACACAGTAGTTCTCAATGGCTGCAATAATGCAGCCAAAGAAAAGGAGAAATGATTGCTTTTACAGCCTTTATGGGTGTAAAAGCAATCAGTGTAAAAAAAAAAAAATGTTCATCACCCCCCATGGTGACACTGTACTGCTAGGGTGACAGTATGTAAAAAAAAAAAATAAATAATAATATAAAAAAATAAAATAAAAATGTAAAAAAAAAGTTTAATAATTAAAATTTTTGGTTATAAACTAATTTGGGTGGTTTTTTTTTTTTTTTTTTTTTACTAAAAAGATAACGGAATACATTTTGGCCAAGATTTATGATGAAATATTATTTGCAAAATTTTATAATAACACTTTTTTTCAAAATTTTTGAACTTTTTCATTTATATAGCAAAAAAAAAAAAAAACCCAAAATTCATATGGGTACAGTGTTGCATGACCGCGCAATTATCATTCAAAGTGTGATAGCGCTGAAAGCTGAAAATTGGCCTGGACAGGAAGGGGGTAGAAGTGTCCGGACTGGAAGTGGTTAAATGTCACTGTTCTCAGTATGGGTTGGCTTGAGGGCAGAGAATATTATGATCTCATTCACAGCTTCTTATCTCTGAATTCACAATTGTATTGGTTCTGCTATTTTGGGATTTACTCTGTGGCACAGTAAATGTACCCCTGTGTTTTTCAGGCTCAGTACTCGCATCATGTGATCCAGCAGATTCTCGGGCACCTGGATTTTCACAAGAAGAGTTCCCCTCGCATACGAGCAGGCATTGTACAGGTTCTTCTGGAAGCAGTCGCCATTGCTGCTAAAGGCTCCATTGGTACGTACCCTGCTGTATTATCTCTCTTTCTGCGTGTAATATCTGCACTGTCCTAAAGTGTATCTAAAGACAAAAAAGTGAGAGATGATTTTGAGCTGTCGCCAAAACAGAATTTGATGAAAAATGGGAAACACTTGTTCAGGTGACAGCTGTCGAAGTAGGGTAGTTTTCCTTAGTTTAGACAGATTTCCTTTTACTTCTTGTTTGTTGGTTGGACAGGAAGTTAAAGGATGTCTCCCCAAAATTGACAAGAGTTTTATTTATTTACAAAACACATAGTCCCAGGAACCTTTTGTGAATGGCTTGAAGCAGAGAGAGGTGGAAACACAGCGTTTGCACTGGGGTCTGTCCTGCGAAACTTGCATATGAGAAGGCCAAAAGTACAGTGGAAGCTTTACTAATCCCAGTATGTTAGAAACACATTATGTGCCTGGAGTTTGGCTTTCAGGATTTTCCATTGTGAAGTGATTTTAAAGGCAGAAGGCTTTTTACCTTAATGCACATATGTCAAGCGCAAGGCCTGCAGATCCGGCCCACCAGGCCATTTCATGTGGCCGTCTCACCTCTCCTGCAGCTGCGGCACCCCCTCATCTCCATTCCCACCTTGTCTTAACAGTTGGTGGCAGAGAGGAGGACAGATCTCCTCTGTCAGATCCTGCGCCTCTCTGTGCATCTGCAACACGCCCTTGTCTCCACCTCCCTTAGTTTCAGCATTCAGCAGACCCTGGCAGCTGATTCCAGCCCTCCTCTGGTCCTTTTCCAGACCCTGCACTCTCTGTTTCCCACATCCACGTTTAGCCTATTTCCTGCAGAAGCACAAGATAAGAGGGGCGCACTGTGATGTGAGGGAGGGTGGGGGGCTCTTGACATCTGATGAAAGGGGGGGGGGGGGGGGTGGGATGCTCTGGACATCCTGTCTTACTGATACAACCAGCCCTTTGAGGGCAACCGTTATGCTTATGCAGCCCCCAATGAGATTTAGTTTGACAACCCTGCCCAGGGGCGGACTGACCATTTGGAAACTCGAGCACTGCCCGGGGTCAGTAGGGGGCCCCATGAGATGCCCCTGGTACCTTTTTCATAGGCTTTTTTGAGTTTGGGCAAGGGGCACAGGGGCCCCATGATCCCCTATTTCCCGGGGGCCCCATGAGTTGTCAGTCTGCCCCTGGCCCTGCCTTAATGCATTATTTGCATTAAGGTAAAAATCCTTTTACATGCAGCTGCCCCCCCCGCCCTATATTTACCTGGGCGCAGTCTCGATCCAGAGATGTGCATGAGAGCAGTGGCTCTCTCCCTCCTCATTGGCTAAGAGACCGCAGCGGACGCCATTGCTGTCAGTCACAACCAATGAGAAGGGAACGGTGGAGTCGAGCCATGCACTCTGTGTCAATGGACAAACAGAGTGGGGCTCGGGAGCATGCACACATGAGTGCCCCCAGAGTAAGTGGTTTGCTATGGGGGCACTTGATAGGGGACACAGGAAGTGGAGGATCAGGGCTGCTCTGTGCAAAACCAATGCATGGAGCAGGTAAGTATAACATGTTTGTTATTTCAACTTAAAAAAAATAAAAATGAGCATTTACACTCAGTTTAAGTGAAAGCTGGACCCCCTCTTTACACTATGGAGTCGCTGTCATATTGCATATCTTTATGCCAACACAGTCACCTGCATACAGAAAATCTGAATTTGTGGATCCTAACCTAGTATATGCAGTTAGACCTCTTTTAAAGAAATTTGGGAGGGAGATACCCAGCCTCTGATATCCATTTGCAGCTCCTCCATTTAGAGTAAGAGGTTCCTAATGCCACAAAGGGTCGGGTTCTTCACTCTTTCTTTGAGTCAACTGCAGTCAACATCATCATGTCACTTTATTTGTATTTAGAAAAAAAAAAAACTGTTCCTGAGATCCCTAATGCAAGTTAGAACATAGGTAGACGTTTCTGGTTTCTTGAAGCATTGTGGGCTCTTCATATCGTTAGAGATTGCAGAGTGTGTTATTACCAAACTGACTCTGCCTCAGGGGCGGACTGACCATTTGGAAACTCTGGCATTGCCCGAGGGCCCGGGGTCAGTAGGGGGCCCCATGAGATGCCCCTGGTACCTTTTTCATAGGCTTTTTTGAGTTTGGGCAAGGACACAGGGGCCCCATAATCCCCTATTGCCCGGGGGCCCCATGAGTTGTCAGTCCACCACTGCTCTGCCTAGTGGACTTGCAGTGGGATAAGATGCTTTACCAGTTATATACTAAAACTAAGATTTTAAAGCATCGGTATCTATAATTCATAATAACTAAACTCTTCTTTGTATTAAATAAATCTACCCCAATCTTAACATATAGACAAAATAATTAAATGAATACAAAAATAATATTACAAAAATGTCCCAATTTTTTTTAAATTGTCCCAAAAAAACATAAAGGACACGTGACGTCTGACACACTCACGTGAAACCGGAAGTGCTGTCGTGGCCACCTTTGTTTTGGGAACATGTCGTTTTTGCCACACTAGGACTACTCCTGAATGTTCCTTATGCTGGAAGTTGTTTTTCTCGATTTTTAAATGTAAGCTACCTAATAAATATTGTTACAGTTTACTATATGCAGTCTCTAATCTCCAATTTTTACGTCATGAGGATCATGGAAGAATAACAACAGGATTATTAACCACTTGCCTACCAGGCACTTATACCCCCTTCCTTACCAGGCCAATTTTCAGCTTTCAGCGCTGCCGCATTTTGATTGACAATTGCGCGGTCATGCAACATTGTACCCATATGAAATTTTGATCTTTTTTTTCTCACAAATAGAGCTTTCTTTTGGTGGTATTTAATCGCCACTGGGCGCTTTACTTTTTGCGCTATAAATAAAAAAAGTGCAAAAAATTTGAAAAAAAAAAAAAGTTTATTTGTTTCTTTTATAAAATTTTTCAAACAGGTATTTTTTTCTCCTTCACTGATGTGCGTTGATGAGGCAGCACTGATGGGCACTGATAGGCGGCACTGATGGGCACTGATAGGCAGCACTAAAGGGCACCGATAAGCAGTACTAATGAGGTGGCACGGATAGGCGGCACTGATAGACAGCACTAATTAGGGGTCACGGATAGGCGGCACTGATATGCAGCACTGATAGGCGGCACTGATAGGTGACACTGATTATGGGTACTGATAGACGGCACTGACTGGCATCACTGCTGTGCACTGACTGGCGGCACTGACTGGCACAACCCCTGGGCACTGACTGGTGGCACTGACTGGCAGCACTGCTGGGCTGCACTGGTGGGTAGCACTGGTGGGTGGCACTGGTGGGCACAGGTGGGTGGGCACAGGTGGGTGGCACTGCTGGGCACATGTAGGTGGCACTTCTGGGCACAGGTAGGTGGCACTGCAGAGTGGCACAGGTGGGTGCACTGCTGGGCACAGGTGGGGGCACAGGTGCACTGGGCACAGGTGGGGGCACTGCTGGGCACGGGTGGGGCGGAGCTAGTGGGCGCACTGCTGGGCGGAACTTGCGGGTGTCACTGCTGGGCACCGATCATCAGGGCACTGATCATCAGTGCCCTGATGATCGGTGCCGATCCCCGCTCTGACAACTGCCGGTTCTCGGCAGTACTTCTTTCCTCACGATCTGACAGCGTGAGGAAAGTGCAGCCGAGAACCGGCACTTGCATTTCCTTGTGATCAGCGTGTCATTGGACACCGCTGATCACGTGGTAAAAGGCCGCTGTGATTGGCCTTTTACCACATCACGTGATCAGCTGTGTCCGTAGGACACAGCGATCACGGAGATCGCCGGGTGCGCGCCCCCTGGGGCGCGCAGGAGAGCGCGTTTTGGGAGGACGTCATATGACGTCCACCCAGAACTGGCCGGCCGGGTGAAGCCGTCATTCGGCTATGCGCGGTCGGCAAGAGGTTAAGAAGCCTGGAGAGTGTTATCATCCCTTGTTTGGGGTAGAGCTTGCTATTACCTGTATAGGGTAATTATCCATTGTTGCACCAGTTGGAGTAATTCACCTTATTTTGCACCATCGTTTATATTGTTGGAGAATTATATCACTTTTTGGCTATATTTAGCTCTGTTTGTCAATCATTATTTGCACTATGTAGAGGTGAGCACTGATTTGTATTGTTTGCAGTTGGAGTGTTCACATTTTGAGTATATTCACATGTGTATTTCATTGATGTATTGGATGTGATATTATTATAATCTTATCTATAACTATAATATTGTATTCTATATATATAATAATTTTTTTTTCTCTCACGTGTGAGTTTCAGTGTACATGATATGCAGTTTGCATGATACACAGTTTGTTGCACTTTTGTTGGTCCATTTAAAAGGTAATACACTATCATAAGTTTATATTTTTTTGTCCACGAAGAATTTGGAAACATCACGTTGGATTATTACAGAGTGACACAATGTGATTTGGAGGTGGAAAAGACAACATTTTTGGGATATTTATTTTATGGGACATTTATGCTTTTTGGGACAATTTTATCATTTTTTTGGACATTTTTGTATTATTATTTTTGTATTAATTTATTTACCGTATTTTTTTGCTCCATAAGACGCACCTGACCATAAGACGCACCTAGGTTTTAGAGGCAGAAAACAGGAAAAAAAAATATTCTGAACCAATGGACTGCAGACATAGTACAGGAGATGACCAGAGACTGCGGACATAGTACAGGAGAAGACCAGAGACTGCGGACATAGTACAGGAGATGACCAGAGACTGCGGACACAGTACAGGAGATGACCAGAGACTGCGGACACAGTACAGGAGATGACCAGAGACTGCGGACATAGTACAGGAGATGACTAGAGACTGCGGACACAGTACAGGAGATGACCAGAGACTGCTGACACAGTACAGGAGATGACCAGAGACTGCGGACACAGTACAGGAGATGACCGGAGACTGCGGACACAGTACAGGAGATGACCAGAGAGTGCAGACACAGTACAGGAGATGACCAGAGAGTGCGGACACAGTAC